GCCTTTACTGAGGTGAGGCTGGAGGAGAAGATGCCTGGGGAGGGCAGTGAACCAAACTGGATGTGATTTTTGAGAAAACCGTAGAATTTCAGAGTGTTCCAATGCACTTGCTCATGCATCACAGGTAGTCTCATTTCTCATTTAAGTATAAATCAGTCTGGAAGTATACAGTTATTATAAGTTTTAGCTTTCTTTAAGTAGATTCAGGGTTTACAATGAGTTCTCACATTGTTGGATAGTGTTTTTTCCTTTCTTCCTCTCTAGAAGGACTCGTGGGCAATGTGTTCTACAAATTCGCTCTTGTTCAGAATATCTGCTTGTTAAGTCTATTTCTGAACAGAATTTGGCGAGGTACCATATTCTTGGGTCATCCTTTCTTTTCTTTTTTTTTTTGGAGAGGTTTTTGCTATAAGGGCGCATGTGCTCGCCAGACAGACAGAGAGACAGAAAGCGAGAAATCACTCCCCAGGGTGGGTGGCCATGCCACAGTCCCTTCTCCTCCGTTCTCCTGTTGGGATCTTGGGCACATATGCATACGCGCCCGGCGTGAGTTTTAAGCCACCGGGTCCGGGCCGCGAACTGCAGTCGACTACATGGGAGTCCAGCGACATAGCCATTACTCTAACTGCTGGTCCCAGGTCATCCTTTCTAATGTGGGTTTGTTCCTGTTTTCGTCGTGACCTCTCCAGTTTCCCTTTTCACTTTTCATCTCATTCTTCTTTATCATTTGTCTTGGAGCTCTTCCCCCTGCCCCCCTACTCAGGGACTTACAAACTTCTAGACTTCAGAATATTTGTGGGGCATTTCCTTTTTCTGTAGCTGTGTTTTTTTTCGGATTAAGTTCTGCCTCTGCCTCTTACTTAATGCATTCCTTTCCTTCATTCTTTTTGCTGTGGTATGTGCATGTTTACCATTTTGTGTCTTGTCTTCTTGCCTATGCTTAAAAATGGACACTCTTGGGACCAGCAGTTAGCGTAATGGCTATGTTGCTGGACTCCCACGTAGTCGACCGCAGTTCGAGTCCCGGACCTGGTGGCTTAAACACACACCGGGCGCGTGTGCGTGCGTGCCCAAGATCTCAAGAGGAGAGTGGAGGAGAGGGGATTGTGGCATGGTCATCCCCCCTGGGGGGTGATTTCTTGCTTTCTGTCTCTCTGTCTGTCTCTGTCTGGCGAGCGCTCGCGCCCTATAGCAAAAACAAAAAACAAAACAAAACAAAACAACTCTCCAAAAAAAGAAAAAATAAATAAAAAAGGACACTCTTGGTGGCCAGGCAGTAGCCCAGCATCAGTGCTGACTCCCATGGGCAGGCCCTGGTTCGCCTTCCTGAGCCTTCCTGTGCATACAGGGGGTGCACCTTCACGTACCTGTTGTCCCAGCTAAGGCTGGGGTAGATCGTGGTGTAAAGACACTGCTGGGAGTGTCACTTCCTTCCTCTCCTCCCTCCCTCTCACTCTCTCTCAAGAAACACATAAGAAAACTTAAAAAAAAAAAAGAAAAAGAAAAGTGGCTGTCTCTCTCCAGAACGTCTCTTGCCAGGAACTGTTTCATCCCTCCTAGGCACAGTGAAGAGTTGGGAGCATTTAATTCTGTCAGCTGTTCTATAGTTTACAGTTCGTAGGGCAGACAGCTCTGTCATTGGGTCCAGTTCTTACTTGACCATGTGGGTCCTGCTGTCTTTTCCAAGGCTTCACTAAATGATCATTACCTGCTTTCACTTATTTGAAGGTGTTGTACTTTTAGACTTTGAAACCTTTTCAGGTTGCAACCTCAGAAAACTTCAGGTTTTGTTTGTTTGTTTGCTTTTGCTAAAATCCTGACATCCTGGCAGTGGGAGCTTGTAAAGGCTTCTGATCCCAAGGTTTTTCTTCATCCTCATTTCTCTTCAACTCAGTGTTTCTTTAACCTGGCTAACTCCTTGCCCTTCAATCTGCTGTTCTCTGAAGGAAGTTTTAGTGTGCTCAGGATTTTCTTCTTCTTTTTTTTTTTTTTTTTTTTTTGTGTGTGATCGTTTCTGGGGTTGGTTAGAGCCCTCACTTAACTAAACACATAGTGCAGAACTTTAACTTCGTTTTACAAGGTTCTGGCAATAGGTTATACCCTTTCTTTTGTTAGCTGCTGCTTGCAACTTTTTTTTTGTTGCCCTTTTAAAAAATACTGTTTTAGGGGCAGCAGGTGGTTTGGCGGTTAAGGCACTGGACTCCCACAAGGGCAACTGCAGCTCAAGTCCTGTACCTGGCAACTTGAAAAATCATGTTGACTGCCATGTAAGTGCATGCCTCAAATCCCAGGAGGAGGAGGATTCCCTCTCACTGTCTCTCCTTGTCTCTGTCCAGTGAGCACACACATGCCTTACGGCAAAACACAAAAAATTTTTTTTTGGCCAGCTTATGGACAGGTGATTGAGGCAGCTGGATTTGACATGGTTGACAGCACTATTCAAGTCCTGGACCCGGTGGTTTGGGACACATACCAAGTGCATGTGTATGCATGCCCTTAAAACCAAAAGGAGGGAGAGGAGACGGGATTGCAGTGTGATCATGCCCCACAGAGAATGCTTTCTTGCTTTCTTTGTCTCTCCTCAGCAAGTACACACATCATCTAGCAAATTAAAATATATAGGGACCAGCAGTTAGCGTAATGGCTATGTCGCTGGACTCCCATGTAGTCGACCACAGTTCACATCCTGGACCTGGTGGCTTAAAACTCACACCTAGCGTGTGTGTGTGCATGCCCAAGATCCTGAGAGGAGAATGGAGGAGAAGGGATTGCGGCGATATATATTGTTATATATATATATATTTAATGAAGATATTTATCTGATATTAATATATGTCATGTATTACTTATTATATACATTGATACAATCTTTGGTTTAAGTCCTGGGAAAGAAGATCCTGCACTCCATTCTGTCATACGAACATCATACCAACACTTTCTTTCCTGAGACATCTCACCTAAGCAGGTTTCAGTCTTTTCTAAGGCATGTGTGTGTTTTAATAATGTAAGCTCCAGAGCAGCGGGCGTATGTGAATATTTTTATTTTATATGAACTTCGAAGTTACAAAGTGTTTGTTCATCTATTGTTGTATTTTTTTCAATGTTAATAAGAGAGAGTGAGAGGGAAA